CTAAGTTGAAGGGACCAGGTCCTTTCTAGGCCACATCTCCTTTCACTTCCTGCTCTTGAGGTTCCTCAAACTGCTGGAGTCTCCAAATCACCCAGGAGAAGTTCACACTTCTCTTATCTCCCAGGATGCATGGCTGGAGGCTCAGGCCTCCCTCTGGGGCTCTTGGCCTGGGGTGGAGTGGTTCTAATTCCTGTCATTCCCAGAGGGGTAATGTGGATCAAGCTGTTTGTGTATGTGTGTGTGTGTGTGTGTATGTGTGTGTATGTGTGTGTGTCTGTTTGTGTGTGTGTATGTTTGTGGTTTCTCTACAGCACTGGGGGAGGGGAGGAGACCAAGGAGTGGATTTCACCGAGTGTGTACGATGACCTGGGCTTTGAGTTAGGTCATCACTAGACTCTTTCCTTACATCGACCCATATTAATTCCCATAAGACAGACGGAGTCCATCTACAGGAAACAAAGCTAGAAACAAATCTTTGTTAGTTAAAGAAACAAAACACTAAGGCATCTTGAGTAACTTTTCCAAGGTTCAATGTTTACTTTTGGTTGTTTAACTCCAAAGCCTCACATGGTTTCCAAAAGAGAGTAATTTTTAAAATATAATTTGCCCCCACTTTCTGTTTAAAAAATATTATCATTATTTATTTTATGTGTATGGCTATTTTGACTACATATGTGTCTGTGCACCACACGCATGCCTGGTCCTGTGGAGTCCGGAAGAGGATGCTGGCTCCCCTGGAGTGACAGATGGTTGTGAGCCAGGGTATGAATGGTGGGAGTTGCACACAGCTTCTCTGGAAGAGCTTAACCAGGAGCCATCTCTAGCTCCCCTCTTTCTTTTCTCTTGCTCCCCCCCCCACTTTTTTGCGTATGGTTCTGGGCACGGAGATGGAATAGAGTCTCTAGTCCTTCATGAAGCACATGATCACAGAATTTACATTGGCAGAAAAACAGAGAGAGGCAATGCAAACAATGATGGTGTTTTCTCACACAGCCCCTCACGGGGAGGAGGTGGCAGCTGGAGTGGCGTAGTCCATGTGCAGGTGCAGCTGTTGGGTGGCCCTGAATGGTGCTGGGAGCTTCTAAGTGAAGAGATAGTTTCTGCTCATGTGGTATCTCACTTCAAACCTGTGCAGAAAGATACCTAAAGAATACCAAGCATAATATGCTAAGTGGTGGTAAGCCCTGTGGAGATAAAGGGAGGGACGATGAATGTAGGTCACCAAGGCAGGGAGTCTTCCATCTTGGCCTTTTGGGCTGGCATTGGTGAGGCTGAAGATGTTGCATTTGGATCATTTGTTTGACAAGAATGGAGTTTAGGGTGACTCCTCTGGGTGTTATTTGTATGCATGGTGAATTTTCTTAGGAGCTTGTCCTGGGCCCCAAGCCCAGGCTTGGAACTCAATGTCATGGTGAGTTTTTGATGTCTGAGATGGGAGTTGTGTACAGAAGGAATCACTGTTTCTTTTATTGACAAAATTTAATCTAAAATACAGCACAGGATCTTATTATATGGCAGGCCTGGAACTCATTATGTAGATCAGGGTGGTCTCGAACTGACAGAAATACGATAGTTCCTGCTCCCCAGTGCTGGGATTGAGGTATGCATCCCTACACGCAGCAAGGCACTCCATTTTACAGCAGAATCTAACAGCCAGATGTAATGGAGTACCCTTGAAACCCTAACTCTTATGGGGTTGAGGAAGGAGGATTGTGAGTTTGAGCCAGTCAAGACCACCTAGTAAATTCAAGGCCACCATGAATTACATAGTGAGATCTCGCCACAAGCAAATCAACAAACAAACAAATAACTGATATTTTCAGGGCTGATTAAAAATTTAACATATGTATTTTCTTATACATTATAAGACCAAATATACACTATTCTTAAATTTGTCACACAGGTGGGAGGAGTAAGGAGAGGAAGAGGAGGAGTAAACAGAGGAAGAGGAGGAGCTAAGGAGGCAGAGATGTAGGAACGATGGAGAACCACAAAAGTATCAAGAGCAGCCATGGGTAAACAACTTATATCAAGGTTAGATATTGGGACACACCTCTAATTATGTGAGCATCTTATTAATTGAGCATTATCAAACTTATAAAGCCTGTGGATAATCTAAGAATTAAAGTCTCATTTCTACCAGGTACCGTGTGGATAGTGGGATGGTCTGGGCCCAGTCCAGCCTTGTGGAGACAGCATGGAAGATTGGCAGAGCCATCTCCCACATTGGTGTCTTGTGGGTGGCAGGGCTGGTGTCTCTGGCTGCCTGAGCCAGTGGCTTGAGCCGAGCAGCTATGAGAACGTGCCACCGCTGCTGCTGCTCGTGGCTTCAGGCCTAGGCTAGTTGGGAAGATGGCGGCTGATTAAGAACAACCAGACTGGGTGCCGCCATTTTAAATAATTACTTCAAGATCACACTGATGCCATTATAACATGGCCCACTCTCCACTGCCCACTGTTTATCCTCCATGTCCCACTGTCCTCTGTCTGCTGCCCACTGCCTATTGACTACTGGCCACTGCCATGCCTTTCCAGCCATGATATATTGTATCCTTGCAGACAGTATAAATCCTTCCCCCCTTAAGATACTTTTTTTAAATTTTTAAAGTACATCTTAAAAATTATGCATATGTGTGTCATTATGTGCACAAGTGCAAGCGCTTATGTAGGCCAACACTGTCAGACCCATGACCACAGTGACACATTTCCTTCAACAAGGCCACACCTACTCCAACAAGGCCACACCTCCTAATAGTGCCACTCCCTGGGCCAAACATATTCAAACCACCACACTAGCCTTTTGGGGCTCAGCAGTGGAAAGCACAAATCCTCTGAAAGTCTTGGCTGGAAATTTCCCATTGCTAACTACTTGTAAAACAAAGAAAGCTTGTAGAATGTTCACAGCTTGAAAATCCCAGAGAGGATAATGGTTGGCTCCTGCTGTATTCTGAAAGGCAGAGAGGATTTTGCAGAAGCATGGCCCTTGACCACTCTGAGGCTGAAAAGGCAGAGGAGATGTGGCTTTGAAGAGAAACAAATTTTAAGACTATTTTAAACAGCTTCTTTTCCTTATAGTTCTTTTATAGTACTATAACTATTATTTATTTTAAAATTTTGGGAAGGTCTTACTAAGTGATCCTGACTGACTTGGAACTCGTTGTGTAGACTAGGTTGGCCTTGAACTCAAGGGCGATTCTCATCCTCTTGCCTCTTCCTCCCTAGTGCTTGCACCCAGGCCTGGGTTTAATTTTATATTTGAGGATACTTTAATTTATTCTGACTATCACACAAGAAATCTAGCAGAAAGAGCATGTTTAAATAAATCTGGCAAACTTTTTGAGTAAGCACGAGGTAGAAATTCTAAGGGTAGGAAACGAGGGCTGGAGAGGGCTCAGCAGTTGAAACCACATACTGCTCCTCAGGAGGACACGAGTTCAGTTCCTAGCACCAGTGCTGGGTAGCTCACAACCACCCATAAATCCAGCTCCAGGAGGATCAGGTGCCTTCAAAGGCACCCAACTCCTGTGCACAAGCCTACATACAGATACACACATATAAAACTAAAACCTTAAAACAAAGCAACCCCAAAAATTTTCAGTGTTTTTACAAGAGTGGCATATAATAGTGTATCTTAGAATTGATGACATCTTAAGTTTGACACAATGTAGTAGTTCACATTTATTTTCTTTGAAAGATACATTTATTTATGTATTTTATGCACATGTGTGCTCTATTTGTATGTATGGCTGCATGGCAGAAGAGGCATCGGATCCCATTACAGATGGTTGTGAGCCTCCATGTGGATGCAGGAATTGAACTCAGGACCTCTGGAAGAGCAGCCAGTGCTCTTAACAGCTGAACCATCTCTCCAGCCTCAGCAGTTCACATTGCTTTCTTTTCTTTGTCTGTCACCACCTTCTATTGTGATAAAATATACATAACATTAATGCTGCCTATGGTGGTGCACACCTTTAATCCCAGTACTGGGAGGCAGAGGCCAGCAGATCTCTATGAGTTTGAGGCCACCTGGTTCTATGTAGTAAGTTCTAGGCCAGCCAAAGCTATGTAGAGAAACCTCTCAAATTCTATGTATGTGTGTATGTATGTATGTATGTATGTATGTATGATCTATCTATCTATCTATCTATCTATCTATCTATCTATCTATCACCTATATATAAATGAAACATTAAATTTGCTACTATCTGTTTTTTTTTTATTTGCTATGTAGCCCTGGCTACAGTGGTGCTCACAGTGATCCTTCTGCATCAGCCTCCTGATGTTGGGTTTAGTGGTTTGTGATGCTTGGATCTAAGTCAGTTTTAAGTGTGCAGTGTGGTACACTGAGCATATTGATATCAGCCACCAACCGTCAATTTGTAGAGTGTTTTCATGAAGCAAAAGTGAAGCTCTATACCCATTAGGCAACTTTCTATTCTTGCTGTCTAAGCCCAGATAATTGCTGTTCTGTCTGTTGGACTGTCTAAGCCCTTCATACAAATGCAGTCAGCTCATAACGCTCATCTCAACAAAGGAAACTGTCTTAATACCATGTGGGGACTGAGGTGAATTTTGTCAGAGAAAGCGGCTGGCTCTTTAAACTGTAGATCCAGCTGGGAGAAGAAAGCAGAAGTTTGCATCTTCTTTTTTGCCTTAGCAACCCTGTCTTGAAAAAAAAAAATAACAAATTGAGGAGGCGGGAGAAGATCACTAATTTGTAGGTTCCATATCATACCAAGGTATGACCAGTCTTCCATAGCTGATGTTAGTCTCTGATTGAAGCTATCTAGCAGGTTAAAACTCATTCAGTAAGGGCTGCCTCCTGCTGACCTACCAGCTTTGTATCTCAGACTTCGAGGCTAGCAGTTCCTGGGGAAAGGAGCTAAAAAGACATGAGCTGTAAAACTTAGTCTTCTGTGGCTTTTCTCTTACAGAATACAGGTCATCTGATGACCCCACGGAGCAGCAGGATGTACATCAACTGTCACAAAACACATAGCTGACTTCTGTTCATTTACTGAAAGAGGAAGTATAAGTTTCATTTAATTTGCAGAAAACAGCATAGTTTTTAAAGTTAAAAGAGATGATTTATGTGTAGGCGTTATGCCTGCTTGTATGTCTGTACATCATGTATGTGCAGTCTCTCAGGAGGCCAGAAGAGCTTGCCAGAGGCCCTGGAAGTTGGAGTTACAGACGGTTGTGAATCATCATGTGGCTGCTGGAGAATTGAACCTGAGTCCTCTGGAAGAGAAACCAGTCCTCCGAAACACAGAGTCAGCTTTCTAAAGCATTAGAGGAGCTGGCCTAGGAGGTGAAAGATGATTGTTATTGTAAAGATATTCTGGCAGAAGAAAAAGAAAAGCATTCCCCATAGTAATTAAGATGGCTCTGGAATCTGGATGTGAGACTCAGAATGTATTCTGCCTATTCAGTCCCCACCACAATTTTTCCTACCCATAAAAGCCATGTCATGGGCTTGCATTCTCTAAGATGGCTCTCATCATCCAGGATGCCAGCCTTTGAATAAAAATGACTCTTTTCCTCCAACTGTCGCGTCCAGAGTACTGGGTTTTGAATGATAGATGGAACTGGGTCCAGTACCACATTATCTGAGATAAATCAACTGATTTATTTTGGCTCTTTGTTTTAGAGGTTCAATCCATGACAAATCCATTCTATTGATTTGGACCCAGGGTGCGGCGGTACATTATGACAGAGGGCGTGCCTCTGGCAAGGCTGCTTGGCTTCTGACTGTAAGTCGAGAGGGGAAAGGTAACTGGGATTTCACAGTCTCCTCATGAAGGCATGCCTCCCCAAACTGAAACATGCTCTTCCATCCCTCAGCAGACTCCATTCCTACAATTTCCTTATATTCTAATAGTGTTATAATCTGGGGACCAAGCCTTTAACACATAGCTTTTGGGGGAACATTTCAGATTCAGACTATAGTATCAGCTACCTGTACCAAGTCACCTAATCTCCTGTCCTCTAGAGGCAAATGTATTGAGCTCATAGGGTGTTATGAGGATTAAATGAGAAAACCTTATTTATATAGATTGTGTGTGTGTGTGTGTGTATGTGTGTACTTGTGCACGCAAGCACACATAGAGGGTATGTGGACCTGTGCCAGTGTGTGTGGAGGCTGGAGGTTGATTTTTAGTATCTTTCTCTATTACTCTCTACCTTATTATTTTTTTGTTTTTTGAGGCAGAGTCTCTCTGAACCCAGAGTTTGTTGTTTGGACACACTGGTCCCATGGATCTGCCCTCCTCTGTCCCTTCCCCAGTGTGGTGGCAACACAGGTGTGTGCTGCTGTACCTGGCTTCTTCTAAGGGAGCTGGGGTGACGGACTCAAGTCCGCATGCTTATGAAGCGAGCCCTTTATGCACCGAGTCATCTTCCCAGCCTTTGCAGATTCTGTGTAGCACTCACAGGGCATGAGATGTCTGTGTCCCTGGACTTAGTGAGGTGCTGGAGTCACGACCTCCACATCTTGCAGAACTTCCCCACTGAAGAGTGGAGGTGGAGACCTGCAGCTGAGCAACGTGCAGAGTGACAGGCTTGGAGCGCTCGCTCGGTCCTAAGTGGGATCTCTTCATCAGACCCCTCCCCACTAAAAGGAGGAAGTGGACAGTAGTTCCCACTCCTAACCAAGACACTATTGGCAAATGAAACTCAATTAATTTTCTACAATGGAGTGTCATTGGGTTTGTCAACCACACTCCAGGGCCAGGAGTAACTGGCCAACACAAAAGAAATGGCACTGTGGTGTTTGTTTGTTTTGTCATTTTTATGTGTTTTTTTTTTGTCTTTTTTTTTTGTCTTATTGGTCTTTTGCTTATTTTGATAGTCTTCCTTCCTCTTTCTTTCTTTCTTTCTTTCTTTCTTTCTTTCTTTCTTTCTTCGACAGAGAACATAAAGCTTGGGGGGGGGGATGCGGAGGATCTGGGGGAGGAGTGAGGAGTGTGACTGAGTCAGGCTGGAGCTGGGGAGCCCGGTGCTGAGCACATAGGAAGCTGTGGCTATGGCTGAGAGCCAGGGTCACAGGCTCAGATTGGGCAAGAACAGGGAACTGATCTGCAGGTCACTCCGCTCCTGGTCAGAGATATTTGGAGAAATCAACAGTTCTGGAAAATAAAGAGGCAGGAAGTGAAACAGGGGAGGGAGGGATAGAGAGGAAACAGCAGACTGTATCCTGGCCCCTCCACACCTGCACCCCTGCTCCCCTTCTGACATTGTGCAATGAAGGGCGAGATGACGTGTGTGTGTGTGCTAGTGCACACACGCGTGCATGTGTACATACAGGGAGACCTTACATACAAAGAGACCTCCCATCTCCCTTCTCTGGTTGTGAGAACAGAAACATGTCCCCCACCCCCACTACTCACAGCCTGAGTTCCAACCGTGTTTCTATTTACTGTCCAAAGTCCTGGGGGCAGGAGGTGACAGGTTAGATGGACATTCAGGCACAGGGACCCAGCTCTTACCTAGATCAGCCCTTCCTCCCTCCCACCTAGCACCACTAACACCGCTTGTCCGGTCTCCCAGGTTTAACCCCTCTTTCTCCTTGGACCTGGGCTGCCTCCAGAAGCCAGAGTCAGCTCTCTATACCTTTAACAGGTAACTGAGGTACTGGGGGGCAGGTGGGGGGCAGGTGGGGCTGGGGATGTCTAGAGCTAAAGACGAGCATGGTCTAGGGACTCTGGGTGGAGGGATGAGAACGTATAGTCTGGTTCATGAGAGTATGGAAGGAAGGCTGTGGCTTCAGCGACAGCTGGGCCACCTCCTGGGAAGGATGGAGCCTGCAACATTTCAAGTCTTTTCCCAAACTAGTCTCTGACCTCTCAACCACTCACCTTGAGCTACCCGGTCCCCTTGGTCCTTCCAAAGGAATTCGACTCTTAGCACAAAAGTTCCAGCTCTAAGGAAATCTCAACTCAGTCCCAGATCTGTCTCCAGCTCTTAGGGTCCATCATGGAGAAGGACTTTCAAGACATCCAGCAGCTGGACTCTGAGGAAAATGACCATCAGCTCAGTGGTGATGAGGAACAAGGCCCTCATGTGCAGAATCCTAGGACAGAAAATCCACGTTGGAAAGGTAAGTGTCCAGTTTCTAGAGCCTCTCTGGGATCCCTGTTTCAACAGCCAACTCCTCTCTGTGAGGACTCTCTCACCCTGACCCAGTGACCAGGGTGTTCCTGAGTCTGTCCTCCTCGGGATTATTACTGCTGTGAGGAAGCATCATGACCAAAGTGACTCAGAGAGGAGAGGACTTATTTGGCTTCTGCTTCCTCACCACAGTTCATCATCTAAGGAAGCCAGGACAGAAACTCACACAGGGCAGGAAGCTGGAGGCAGGAGCTGATACAGAGGTCATGGAATAGGGCTGCTTACTGGCTTGCTCCCCATGGCTGGCTCAGTCTGCTTGATTGTAGAACCCAGAACCACTAGCCCAGAGATGGCCCCACCCACAATGGGCTGGGCCCTTCCCCGTCAACCATCTAGTAAGAAAATGCCCTATAGGCTTGCCTACAACCACATTTTATGGAGGTATTTTCTCAGTTGAGGCCTCCTCCTCTCTGATGACTCTAGCTTGTGTCAAATTGACATAAAACTGGCCAACACAGTGACCCTCTACATGTGAGGTACTGATACCTCTGAGTGCAGGGTCCTAAGAAAAGGGTATGCTTAGAAGTGAGAGAACACCTGGGAGCTAGGGATGAGTCTCCCTCCAGACTGCACGTGTGTATGTGTGCATGTACATGTATGTGCTTAGGAGGAATGCAGAACCCAGGACTGGGGTACGGCGATGAGTTGGGTGTGGGTGCACAGAGAGATCCTGAGTGATTCCCATTCTTTTCCTGCCTGAATCTTCTTGCACATTTTGAACACAGGTCTCACATGATTGCAAAAAGGTTTTAGGGTAAGAGAGATCTTGCCCTGGGCTGGTTACCCAGTGTGTTCTGACACTGTAGTTTCGTCTCAGAAGAAACTTGGGACTTCTTGTTGTTAAGACAGGGCCTCTCTCACTTTGTAGCCCAGGCCTCTTGAAACTCACAAGGTAGCCTGAGCTAGCCTTGACTTCTCAAGTAGTCTCTCTGTTTTAGCCTCCGGAGGGCTAGGATCACAGGTGTGCTCTAACCACGCCCAGGCAACTTGGGACTTACACCTTGGTCACATCTCTAATGTTTTACACTTGTGTGGTCCAGTCATAGCATCAATGCCAGTGTCTTGTCTTGTGCTAGCATCTGTGTCGCTTCTGAGTCCTGTTCGAAAGATCCTGGGATCCTGTTTTGATAGGTTCATTTATTGCTTATTTATTTTTGATATTGCCATTCGAACCCAGGGCCTTGCACATACAGACAGGAGCTGAATCACTGAGACCCCCTGTCTGTTTTGTCAGTCTGTCCAACTCCCGAGTTTGACTTGTGTTTTCCTACTCTATTATGTCTTGTGATCTACAACTGGATGCTGAGCACTGTGAGTTCTGTCTTGCTGGGTGCTGGGTGCTTATGTATTCTGGTGAGTATTTAGTTTTCTGGGATGCAGGAAAATGGCTTAGGACCTGACTCCTTGTGCCCTAAATGTCTTGGGTACAGGCTTTCAGACTGTCTCCTCAAGCTGGGGAGTCTGCTAGACTCTGTCCCAATTTCTCCTCTCTGCCCAGTGGCCTGAAAAGTTTCTCTAGGCAGTGAGTAGTGAGCTGGGCAATTTGAAGACTCATTCATTTTTCTGGCTTTCAAGGGTTAATGCTTTTCATGGCCTGATGCTCAGTGTCTTGAAAATTGTTGTTTAATATATACATATATAATGTGTGTATGCATGTATGTATATATGTGTGTATGCATGTATATGTGAATGTATATGTGTGTATGTGCTTGTATGTATGTGTGTATATATACATGCATGTGTATGTATGTGTGTATGTATACATGCATGTGCATGTATACATATATATGTATACACACATACATGCATGTGTATATGCATGCATGTGTATGTATGTGTATATACATGCATGTGTATGTATGTGTGTATTATACATGTATGTATATGTATACATACATATGTATACACACATACATGCATGTGTATATGCATGCATGTGTATGTATGTGTATATACATGCATGTGTATGTTTGTATATGTGTATGCATGTGTGTGTGTGTTTTAATCTTTTTTGAAATAAGGTTAAATCTGACAGTTTCTGTTTCGTCTTGAGTCTTCAAACCTGCCTACACAGTACTTTCCGTTTTAATCAATAGTTCCCAGAACAGCTGAGTCAGGCAGCTACTTTTTGTCATTGTCATCTTATACATGAAGAAAATGGGGTTGCTAAGAGACCGAATGATGCTAGACCTAACTGGTGGCTCAGATGGTTTATTCCCGCTAGGCTGACAGGGTTGGGGCTTCTTTGGTCACAGGTTAGTTGGGAATCAGGACGATGGTTTCCTGCATGACAGTACTAGCAGAAGCAGTCAGGAGGTTAGTTCTGGATTTCCAGCTGGGGAGATGGGTCAGAAAGTGTTTCTAGTTGGAGCCTATCCTATACTTTCCTGTGGTGCTAAAACAGAGTGTATCTGACTAGGAAACTTATAATAAACAGATATGTATTGGCTTGTTTTCCTTGAATTCTGGGAAGCCCAGGACTGAGGGCTCTGTCTGGCAGGGCCTTTACATGATCAACCTGAAGCAGAAGGGCCAGGGAGGGTGAGGGGACAGCAAAGAGGAAGCTTTTAATAAGACTGCTAGTTTTTGATGTCAATAATCCATTCACGAGGGCAGAGCCTAAGACCTAACCACCTTCCCTTCTGGCTCTACCTCCCAACGTTGCTGCCCTGGGGTGTATTTGGATCACAGAGGCATATTCTCTCTAGGTTAAGTTGGGGTTCTAAGTACAGCTGCTGTGGAGGAAGGTGACAAGCATTGGTGTGGAAAGGTGGAGTTCTGGATAGTCATTCATAGAGGCAACTTCTGACTCAGTTCAGCAGTAGGAAATGACCTCAGGAAGACTTGACCTCCAGGATGCAGGTTTGCTCTGACATAGTGGTAGTGAGACAGGGAAGGCTACGGAGTCACAGGCTGATGTAGAGGAGTCTCCGTGCAGGTGAATGGTACAGAAGCAGGGAGGGGCTGGGAGAGGAGTCCCTCCCCCAGTCCTGGGGAGGCAAGCCAGTTCATGTAGGTGAAGATGTTGGTGTGTGAGAAGCAAGTAACAGTGTGTACGAGTGTGTGGATGTCTGTGAGTGTGAGCATGTAAGCAAATGTGTTAAGAGTGGTAAGAGAAAGCGTGGGTGTGGGGCAGATGGGTCAGCGGGCAGGAGAGGTGACTGTGGGAAGATGGGGATGGGAACAAGGGTGGTGGGAGTCAGGGGGAGGTTTTCACTTGGGGGAGATGAGCAAAGTAGATGGGCCTGCACAGTGGCTTTTGGGTGTGTGCTTTTTGGTGGTATTAGTTGGACTGGAGAATCCCACCAGAATAGTGAAGGGATGGATTGTTCCAGAATTGGGGTTGTGTGAGGGGTGTAGGGGTACTGACTAAGGGGGGCACATGACCTAGCCTGTCAATACTCCATTCTGAAGGGACAGGGGCTGTAGAAGGACAGAGGTGATCTGTGGGTCTCTGACTCATGGGCAGGAAGAAAAACCACGTAGACCTCTTTTGTAGGGTGTTTGGAAAAGGCCAGTTCTGCATCCTGGTCTCCTCTGTATCTTCCTGTTCCCGGGTGTAAGATCTCACCTGCGTGCACAGCTGGTACATCTTACGTCATGTGCATGTGAGTGCTTGCACATGTCCATGTGGGTGCATGTGCGTAATTGTGTGTGTGTGAATGTGTGTGTGTGTGTGTGTGTGTGTGTGTGAGAGAGAGAGAGAGAGAGAGAGAGAGAGAGAGAGAGAGAGAATGAAGGATCAAAATCCATCTCATTTCTTCAGCCCCACCTGATTTTCTCCTTTCCCTAGCTTGTGCCTCCTCAGACTTCTGTGTCCCCTGTCCCCTTCTGTGTCTTGCTTTCGGTGTCTAGTTGTCTGGAATTGCTTTCTGACCCATTCTCTCTCACAGGACAGCCTCCTCCCAGGCCCTTTCCGCAGCGCCTCTGCTCCATGTTCCACTTCAGTCTGCTCGCCCTGGCCTTCAACATCCTCCTGTTGGTGGTCATCTGTGTGATTTCATCCCAAAGTGAGGTCATGACCTGGCAGGGATGAAGCAAGGATGGAGAAGTGCTCTGTGGCATGCTGGGGCAGAGGGGAGGAAGAGGAGAGGTGGAGGTGTCCTCATGGGGCAGGTTCTGGGTGCAGATGGAGATCAATGGTGGGGTAACGGGATGAATGACAGTAGAAGTGATAGGTGACATGGGGTCAGTCACATGGGCACGCTGTGACTTAGTTCCACATCCATCTGGTCCCAAATTTTCTCCTGACAAGGCATGCAGCTGCAAGAGGAGTTTCGGGCCCTGAAAGAAACCTTCAGCAACTTCTCCTCCAGCACCCTGATGGAGTTCAGGGCTCTGGACTCCCACGGTGAGTTGGACGGGATAGCTGGCACTTAGTATCCGTGCAGACTTGATAGGTGTGGTGCTGGGTCTGCAGCAGGAGTGTGTTCACGGGCTGTGGGGATGAAAACCTGGGCAGAGGAACAATCCAGCCAGAGCAACTGGCAAGGCTTCTGGCAACACAGGCCCTGACCTAAGGAGCTTGGGCAGAGAGTCTGCGCAGGAAGTGACACGGTGGCGGTTAGTGCCAGGCAGAGTCCCAGCGGAGACCATGATGGCTAGGGGATGAAGAAGGTCATTACCTTTTAGAACTGTGTACACGTTTAGTGTGACAGGAGGTGGTGACTGATGGGTGGTGGGGAGGGGTCAGAGATATGGAGGGGCCAGGCCACACTGCGAGTTGTGTGGACTGAGTGGGGCTTGTCTTGAGAACATGGAGTCCAAGGAAGGAATTTAAACTGCATGCCGGCCTCACTCGGGTGAGGCTGGGAGTCTGGGTAGTAGATGAGTAGCATGTGGGACAAGGTAACAGACTCTTATAGGTACCCAGGGTACGCAGCCAGAGAAGCATTCAGGAGCCGGACTAATGGGGAAACCATTTAGCATCTGTCTTTTTCAGGAGGTAGCAGAAATGACAAGTTGACTTCCTGGATAGCCAAACTGGAGGGAAAGCAGCAGGAGCTAAAAGCAGGTCAGAGATCCCCCTTCTGCATTCTTTCTGGGCCACTGTGATGTGTGGGATGCCGTGTATACACGTCTTTCCCAGACAATAGCTGGAGCTCTGCCTGCCCTTGGCAGGCATGGGTCACACATCTGCTGCGTCTCTGCCCATGTGCTTGTCCCTTAGACCACTCCACTTTGCTCTTTCACCTGAAGCACTTCCCACTGGACCTGCGAACCCTGACCTGTCAGCTGGCCTTCTTCCAGAGCAATGGTAGGGTATCGACAGGGACGTCTTGGGTTCGAGTGTGGCTGTCTCCTCCAGCTGGATCTCATTTCCCTCTGCCCTTCTCTTCCCTCAGGCACAGAATGCTGCCCTGTTAACTGGGTGGAGTATGGGGGAAGTTGCTACTGGTTTTCTTTGGATGGGCTCACCTGGGCTGAGGCCGAACAGTACTGCCAGCTGGAGAATGCCCACCTGCTGGTCATCAACTCCAGGGACGAGCAGGTGAGGAAGCCTGAAGGTAGCCCTGATCAAGTACCGCCTGATCAAGTCTTTGTACTTACCTAGTATTATTTGCTTTAAATTTTAGTTTTCTTCTTCTTCTTCTTCTTCTTCTTCTTCTTCTTCTTCTTCTTCTTCTTCTTCTTCTTCTTCTCTTCCTCCTCCTCCTCTTCTTCCTCCTCCTCCCCTTCCTCCCCTTGCTCCTCTTCCTCCTCCTTCATCTTCATTTTTAAAACCAATGAGTCCAATTAGTGATACCAGTATGTGCATAGGTATAGAGCTATCCATTGGAGCATGGGCATCCAACCAGGGGGCATAGGCATGTTTCTGGACATGATGAGCTGTTGCACACATGGACACCCAGTGGTTGTGGTTGCACAAGACCTGCATAAGATCAAGCTGACCACAATCCCAGTACGGCTGAAAGCCTTGGATGAGGTTCTCCCTGGATCCGTTTCTTATTTGTAACCTAAAAAGAATACAGAAGGAGAGTGTGGTAGGAGTTCCGATGGCTCGTGGTGGAACAGTAACTGCTCCTAAGTGGTGGGAGCCAGGAGGCAGGATAGTCATGAAGCCAGGGCTAGGTGACCAAGTGATGCCGAGGTAGATAGAATGCTAGCCAAGATGACTTCAAGGCTAGAGCTTGGGAGACAATCCAGTGAAGGGACCAAGAGTCCCTTCTTGCTGCATTGGCTGTAGGCTGTGAGATAAGGAGCAGAATGGGAAGACTTATGTTGCTCTCCTGCAGTGGATCCTTGGGTCCTCATTGACCATAGGCATCCTGTGTCTTCCTTCTCCACTACCATCCCCAGATAGTAACCTGAAGACCAAAGTTCATGGTGGGAAACCAATCTGTTAGAGTGGATGGAACAGTGTCTTCCGAGGAGAGTAATAATGATAGCATTCACAGCACCACTTACTACAATCTAGGCGTGCACGTGAGTTCGTGTCTTTAGTTCTTACAGTCCCGTTGGGTGAGTACCAGGGAAGAGAGAGGTTAAGCAATGTGCCAAAGAGCCAGCAAGTCACGATAGAGTCAGGATTGAGACCCACTTGGCTTCTTTGGTCAGTGTTTTCACTACTGTTTACCATGCTAAAGCAATGAAACCATTTGAAGAAGAAGTCAGAATATACTTAGTATTTGCTGTCAGGCTATGCAAGTAATTTTCATGGTGATTTCAAACATATTTTGCTTTACTGATCAGATTGAAGTTGCTAGTATTTGGTTAATTTTGACCTATGAAAACATCAACTTTATATAATTCAACCAAAGATTTGACTCACGAATTCATGACTCCAGTTTCTCGGTGGACCTTGCTGTCATCATTTTGAAGGATACTTTCTACCTTGCCCTCATCTCCGGCTGGCAGGCAGGGTGTGGTCCTTGGGCTTATTTCATCTCTCTGTCCATCATTCAGTTCCAACCATTTTTGGGTCTCTGTGATTTAGATTAGTGGTTCTTAGCCTTGGATAACAAATGTCAACAACCCCTGCCTCTTACTTTTGAACATTCTGATTTAATCTCTGGCTCACTTTAAGATTGTCCTACAGAGCACTGCCAGGAAGTCAAGGTTAAGAAGTTTCTCTCACTGAGTGTTAGACACTGTAGTTTTGATTAAGAAAAAAATTTAACAAGAGCGAAATTTCTTAGCATTTAGGGGGATCATGGGGAAGCTTTTTCTTACCCCTCCCTCTCTCTCTCTCTGCCTCCGCTCTACCACAAATGCTTCCCCAACCCTTCCCTGACTGCTGTTCCTTTCCTACTTTGGAGCTGAGGTCTTGTTTTGGTGTCCAGCCTGGCCTCAAACCCCTGGGCTCAGGTGATCCTCCTACCTCAGCCTCCTGAATACCTGAGGTGATTTCAATAAGTAGATGTAGCTCTCATATTTAGTTTTCAAGATTTCTAATTACATGTATTTGTGTGTGTGTGTGTGTGTGTGTGTGTGTGTGTGTGTGTGTGTGAGACTTCTGTGTGGGAGTGCAGGGCTGTGTGTGCATGTACTTGCCATGTACACAGAAGCTAGAGAGAATGATGAGCTTCCCCTTCCAGCATGTTCTAATTCTTCCTCCCAGGCAGAGTCTTTTTCTGACCCTAGAGGCTCACATTTTTGTTAGACTAAAGCCTGGAAGTCTCAGATACTGTCTTATTTCTGGCCACTCTTGGAACTGGGGTTACAGGCATCTGTTGCGGAATGCCTGGCTTGTTGTGTAGTTGCTGGATTCTGCACTCAGGTCTTTATGCTTTGGAGCAAATGTTCTTGACTACTGAGCCCTCCCTCTAGCCCCATCCCTCATCTCTTACATTAGCTTGTGAGATGAGCTTTGTGTGTGTGTGTGTGTGTGTGTGTGTGTGTGTTTTCTCCCACGGTGTTATGGAATACGGGTAGTTTGTTTTTATTTACTATAGTGATGACCTGTATAACTCTAAATAATGGCCTGAGGTTTACTGGCTTCAAAAACTAAGAGTGCAATTAGCCCGAGAGATGGGTCAGCAATTAAGAGCAATTAGAGCAGAGGGCTGAGATTCAGTTCCCAGCACCCACATGATGGCTCACTACATCCGTAACTTCAGTTCCAGGAGATTTGATACCGTCTTCTGACCTCCTGGGGCACCGGGCACACACACAGTGCACAGATATATGTGCAGGAAATAACCTGCATCCATAAAATATAATTAATAAATATTTAAAAATTAAAGAAAAAAACCCCTAAGAGTTTATATAATTCTCCATACGAAAGATAGGAAAAGCATCTTTTTTCCCCAGAGACAAGATCTCACATAGCTCAGGTTAGCCTTGAACTTGCTATGTAGCCAGAGGAGATCTTGAACTCCTGATTGTCCTGCCTTCACCTCCTGGTTCATGCTGTGGTGGTGGGATCAAACTTAGGGATTTGTGCACACTAGACAAGTGTGGTGCCAGCTGGGCTGCACCAGCCTCTCTAGCACAGGTCTCCTTAGGGTTTGTTATCTTCAAAAACAACAATCAAAGGTCTTTGGAACTCGTGGCTTGTATGCTCAGCTGTCAGTCCTGCACAGCCGCAGCTGCTTGTGATGTCCACACCCAGCTTCTGCCCTGGGGGGAGGGGCATGAGTTCCATGACAGCTTCGTTATTGTCACTGTTTCAAGTGGGCACAGTTCCTTCTTGCGTTCACTTAGGAAAGGGCAGATGAGTGATCTGAACTATTTTCTTTAGTCCTCTAGCACTATTTGATGAAACCCCCACCTCTCGACCTTGAGCTCGGGGACCGGGATTTTTACCCTGTACATGTATGTGTCTTAGTTATTCAGTTTCTTTGGTGATGGGACTGGTGACTACGGAGAGCATCAGGTAGCAGCAACTTGAACATTCTGTCTCCATGTCCCTCTGCTCCATCTTTATTGATACCATTGATACTTCTGAATCTGTGGAGTAGCCTCATTGGCCCTTGCAGCTGCTTCTTCACACACAGGACATTGTCCTACACTCAGAGTTCTAGACTTTATGGGCGCTGCTGTCACAGATTCTGCTCTTGGATAAGAAACCCTGGTCTCTCGGGAGTGTGAGGGGGAATTGGACCATTTTTTCCCAAATGCAGGTGGGAACTCTTCACATGCTATCAAAGGAGATTGTTAGAGTATGTGCTGGTCAAACTGACCTTCTGCTTCCTTTGTAAAACTGGGTGACCATACATTCCCTTGCAACCATACAGAAACAATAGGACCTAAATTCCCAGGAAGAGCCACCTATGTAAGAGCAAGCCCCTTGGAATGGTTTTAGTCCTTGGGAGAAATCTGAAAGCATAGGGACATTTGCATGGAAGCCCCTGACAGTTCCCTGGCTGGGCTGGCTGCCTTGCACCCAAGCATCTTTCTACTTTCAGTGGAGACTGCCAGACCCATGTAGCCAGGTGAAAATGCAGTTCTGGGTGGTGGGCCCACGTTTGGAAACTTGGTGCTGGGGCCCAGCAAACCTTAGGACATGACATCAAAGCTGCAGCAAGAAAACGAGGGGCCAACACAGAGACGACTGAAACCAAGGTGCTTCATGGGTTCTGAGATCTGTGGGACAGCAAGGGTAGGATCCCAAAGATGCTGTGTGCAGAAGATGGGGAGAAGATGGAGTTGCCATAGCAGCGGTGCTAGGAATGGAGTGAAAAGTAGGACCAGGCTGGAAACAGGACAGTTGTCACAAGCTGGATACTGGTTAGCTTTCTGGGTTCTAATAACTCCCTGACAAAGAGAGTGACTACGGCACCAAACTTGGAGAGCTACCAAGACTCAAAAGAGACAATCCCTACAGAGCACTCAGTACAGCATCTAGCCTAATAAAAGTCCATTTAACACTAGCCACTCTTGCGGAGGAAAAAGCAAGGACATAGCTGTTGGTAGCCGAGGCTTCGGCATGGGCAGGCTGGGCTGGGCTGGGGTGCGGTCCCTTGCTTGGGCACATGGATAAAGGATGAAGCGATTTGCTCTCTCACTTGTTTTTCCAGGACTTTGTTGTAAAGCACAGGGGCTCGTTTCATATTTGGATAGGTCTTACCGACAGGGATGGCTCCTGGAAATGGGTGGATGGAACCGAATATAGAAGCAACTACAAGTAAGTACTTCTGCATCTCTTTGTGCGTTTGCTCCAGGGGCAACCGCCTGGCCTTTCACCTCAATGTACTCCTATAAGGCCAGTTTCCCCAGTCTTCTTCATCCTGACTCCCCTTCCCCATCTCAAAGCCTGTACATCCTCAACTCTTGAACACTTCCAAGGCTACGCTGTTTAGAGGCGGGGGACAGGGTTGTGGGGAGATGGGGAGGTGGGGAGGTTGGACCTTGAGCTTTCTTTGGCTTACCTTTTTAGGAATTGGGCCATCACTCAGCCAGATAACTGGCAGGGCCATGAAGAAGGTGGGAGTGAAGACTGTGCTGAAATTCTGTCAAATGGCCATTGGAATGACAACTTCTGCCAGCAGGTGAACCGCTGGGCATGTGAAAAGAGGCGCAACATCACCCACTAGGAGTCTGCTCTATCGCGTCTACGCACCCCGCCTCAACCCCGCATGACCCAATAGGAGTTCGCTCTACCATGTCTCCGCCCTATCCCCACCACTGCATCATCCCAACATCCTCACTAGGGATATGGGCGCAAGGAAGAGAGACAGAGTCCCAAGCACGAGGAAGGGCTATGGGAAAACGGAAAGGGGATGGCTCTATGGTCTCATACTTTGGGAAGGCTGAGATTCTACCCTTCTCCACAATTCATTGCAATTGTTATAAATTTCAGCCTTCTGAACGGAGTAGAAAAAGAAACAAATACGCAAAACTCGTGTAGCCTGATTATTTGGAGCTGGTGCAAAAAAGAGGGAGGTGGGAGAGTCTGGAGGAGCAAGGTGTGACTCTAGGCCCACAGTAAGGAGGGATCATGATGTCAGGAGCACATGGCAGAGAGGCAGGTACTGAGGCAAAATACAGACCGAGGTTACTAGTGTATTTAACCATTCTCTTTCTGAAAGACACGAGAGTTGTTTTTGCATTTTGGCTGCTGCAAATAAATCCACTACAAACATTTAAAAGAAATTCAGAGCTAGAGCAATGACTCATTGGTTAAGAGTACTGACTGTTCTCACAGAGGATCTGGATTTGATTCCCAACACCCACATTGCTCACAGCCACGTAACTCCAGTTCCAGAAGATCTGATGCCATCTACTGGCCTAAGTAGGCACTGCATGCACATGATGCATAGACACACATGGAGGCTAATTTTTTTTAAAGCTTCAAACAAATTACATTTGCCTGGTGTGTGTGCATATGGCTACCTAAATGCCACAGTGCACGTGTGGAGATCAGAGAAGAATTTCAGGAATCACATCTCTCTTTGCAGCATGTGGTTTCTGAGGATTGAACTTGAGTCATCAGTCTTGGCAGCAAACGCCTTTTCCTGCTGGGCTATCTCATTGGCTGTGTTATAAATGTTCTTGTGCAAAGTTCTGCGCAAATATGCATTTTTATTTTTTTGTGATAAATATACCATTATTGTGGGGAGTAGATGAAGTCCTGTATAAACGTGTACTGTTGTCATGGGCATCCCAATGCTTCAGACCCATGGAAATGGCAGAAGCCTTCCCCTGGTCCTTGTGGGATGGTTGACAGTGTGAGCAGAAAGTGTGGACCGTAGCATCCTCCTCCTGGATGTTTACAGCCTGAGACTACTCTCTGCCTATGAGGGGAGCTAACCATGTTGCCTTGTTTAGCTGTTTGCAATAAACCTACCTCCTCAATTCAGATGTGTAAAGAAAATACCAACTTCCTGGTTTGCTGGCGTGTCTCCATGAGAGCCACACAGCCCATCCAATCTCAGCTTTTCTGTACATGTGTCTGTGTGTCTGTCCTTTCTTCAAGCCGTCCATTGCCCAGGTCAGGTCAAATACAAAACCCCGCATGTCACAGGCATTATGAATGCAGTTTCTCAGTCACATAGTCTCAACACATTTAGATACAGGGGAAACTGCCATGCTGTCCTTTGGAGTTAGCATACCTGTGTATATCCTCACTGACCACGCACACCGTGTCTTGGCTGCATTTGTTGTCATCATTGTTCATATTTTTAAAATTTTAACTGTTCTGAAACATGTGCACTGGTATATTGCTGTGGTTTTTAATTCGTTCTAACAGCTAACGACGTGCAGCTTTTAATTTGGTTAGTTTTTACATCTACTTTATTTATGCGTGTGTGCGAGTGTGTGTGTGTGTGTGCGCATGCGTGTACGGTGTGTGTGAGCATGTGTGTGTGTATTTGCGTATGTGAGTGTATGTGTCAATATGTATGTGTGTATGAGTGCATATGTCGGGGGTATGTGTATATATGTGTATGTGTCAGCGTGTATGTGTTGGGATATGTTTGTGGTATATTGCATGTGAAGGTCCAAGTCACAAGTACGGAAGCCAGAAGAAGAAACTGAGTGTCTTCCTAGCACCTTTGGCTCCTTGACACAGGGTCTCCTGGACCTGATGCTTGCCATTTTGTTTAGGCTAGGTGGCCAGGGAGCTTTGGAGATCTATTTACCTGACTCGGCTCCCCAGTTCTGGAGGTGGCAGGCACACATAGCCATGGCTGTAACTTGGGGCTGAGGATTCAAACTTAGGTTTTCATGCTTGCATGACAGACACTCTTAACCTCTGAGTGAATTAACACTCTTAATTCCCCAGCTCCAGGATTCGTTATCTGTTCTAGACACGGACTCATTGTTGGGTTTGCAGCCTGCAAATACCTTCTCTAGCCCCATGGCTCATTTTGTCAGCCGCTCAACAGAGGCCATTTCCCCAAAAGAATACAGCATAGCAAGTAAGATCGGGGCTCAGTTAAGGAACTGAGAACAGTGATATGATCACACAAAGCAGGAAGATAAACGCTTTTCCTGTTTTTCATAGAAATTCGGTTAGATCTCCACAAAGTGACCACGTGTTCTGAAGTCAGGAGAGCCAGAAGCATGGGGGATGTCCTAGGAAGAGGCAAAAGCAAGTACCTCCTGCCAGAGATAATTTCTAGAGAATTCTTACAAGTTGTGGGAGAGTCACCCATTTTTTTTCCTGTGGGAAAGGGAAATGCTTCTTCATACCTTCCCTAGCTGGAAGGTGGAGTCCTGAGAGACACCTGTGCAGAGAGGGCTGTCTGCCTGGAGTAAGTCAGGCCTCTCCCCAGAAGGCCCCATGGGAGCCAGGTTGGCAATATTGTTGAGATGCCATGGCTACTGGTGCCTCAGTGGAACAAGAAATATTTTGGACTTTTGTTTTTGTTTTTATTTTGTTTTGAGACAGAGCCTCACTATGTGGCCTAGGATGGCTTTGAACTTGCAACAGTTTTCATGCCTCAGCCTCTTTGGCACTGAGATCATAGGCAGTTGCCAGCAGCCCTCTTAAGATGGGTTTTGAGTGAGGCTGTGGTGATTATGCCTTTGGGGTTTTCATGGTAGCCATAAGGAAGGAGACTCATTTCTGTTTCTTGACAGGAAAATCTGAAAGCAAATGCCTGGGCAATCGCCTGCCCCACTCACTGGTTCCTCAGGCTGCTCTTGGATGCCTTACAGGGCAAGGATATCAGAGAACAAGAACTTGGGAGCCTGGAAGTCAGATTCCCCAATGATTGACATCTAGATAGACTGTCAGAGAGGACTTCAATCAGGGCAGGAGCAAGGCAAACCACCCTCACGCGGCACTGCTGCAGGGCAGAGGAGCCCACAGAGCGCTCCGAGAAACTCCTGCAAAGCCTTACAAAGTTCTGGTTCTGAATGCTTGCTGTGAAGGACTAGCCCGTGTCTTTGGATTAAGATCTCCTTTGCTCTTGAGGCTCAGAGAGGAGAAAAGGAAAAGATGGAGGGAGAGAGGAACTGTTATCTGACCACTAATCGTTTCTTGCTCTTTGAAACAGATTCTGAGATGATGATCTTTGAGAGTGACTCATTACAATGTGTTCTGTGGACTGGAGGTGAGGGGTAGGGAGGGGCGGAGTAAAGGGAAGGGGGAAGGTCAAGAACGGTCAATGGAAGCTGACTGTAAGATTAGGTTTCTGGAGAAAGTGATTCATTAGGAAGCATTTATATGCAATTTCAAACCACGTGTCACACAGTGATGAGAATAGGGATCCTGTAGCTTCATCTTAGCCTCACAGGGACGCAATGATGAGAACACAGACCACATGCCAGAGCTCTTCCAATTAGGAAGGGGGTACCACACCCACTAACCTTTGGCTAGCAGCTGTGCTAACTTCTGCTCTCTGTGTGCCCAGATGATGATGAGGACAGTCACTCCTCTGTTGAAGAGGCATTGATGCTGGCTGTTAATGAAACGCTGGTGTTGGAGAGATGGCTCAGCACTGAAAGGCATGAGGACCAGAGTTCGCTCCCTGGCCGCAGACACGCAGCTCCAGCAGCCCCTATGCCTCCCCAACCGCAGACAGGCAGCTCCAGCGGCCCCAATGCCTCCTGGTGACCCTGTACTCACATGCTGCCCACTCCCAAGTACACATACTTGGAAATAGTAAGAAAAGAAAATCCAAAAAAAATTAAATTCTACTGAGACCCCACTGTGCTGGGAAGAGGAAAGGGAGAGGAGTCTGAGCAAAGCCCTTATTTACCACGTGAGCTACGGTTCCATCCATGGGGGAGTCCGACTAAGTCTGTACCAAACTTTGCTGGGCTGTGAGATAGGAAAATTAACTTTCAGGCTGGAGGGATGGCTCAGTACTTGAGAGCACATGTTGTTCTGGAAAGAGGGCCCTGGCTTAGCTCCCAGCATTCACTCAGTGGCTCACAACTTCAGTGACTCCAGGTCTAAGAGTTCGGATGCTATCTTCTCCCCACATCCACCTGGCACACATATGCTGCACCGACACATATGTAGGCAAAACAGACACACACAGAAAAATAAAAGGATTTATTTTTAAAGTTTGGCTTTAGTCTTAACTGGACTTCTGAGATCCAGGAGTTGATATGAACTATTGTTGCTGCTCAGTATACATGAAAGACATATGCATCATCTTTACTGACATGGGTGTGAGTGACAGCTGTGTATCAGAGCGTCCTCCAGTAAGGGACTCTTGCCCTGGACCAGAGCTAGCATGTACTCCCTGGAGCCCTGTCTGTTGAGACTACAGCGATAGGCTGTGTTAAGTTCAAGCTGGGATATCCTAGAGGCAGACAGTGATATGTTCACGACAGTTAATGGTACTTCTAGTTATGGTATTCTCCTCCAGTGAACATTTTGCACTTACTTTTCAAACTGTACCCAATATGGAAGTGTGTGCATTAGTCAGATTTTATAGTTATAGTCGATGCTGGTTAATGTTTACTGTCAGCTTGACACAAACTAGCATCACCTGGATAGACAAAGCATCAGTTGAGGAACTGGCCAGGACAGACTGCCAGGACAGACTGCTTGATGATTGATGTATGAGGGCTTAGCTTACTGTGAGTGGTACCATCCCTACGCAGGTGGGTCTGTTAATAAGACAAGTAGAGGAGGGGCTGGGGAGATGGCTCAGTGGTAAAGAGCACTGGCTGCTCTTCCAGAGGTTCAACTCCCAGCACCCACAGTTCCAGGGGATCCCATACCCTCTTCTGGTCTCCTTGGGTACTTCACACAGGTGTTGCACATACACACATGTAGGCTGTAAGGAGCCGCCATTAGAAGATGGCGCTTGTTCCCTCTGTTTGAGGTGAAAAACAACTGCATTCAGGGTCGTAAACACCTGCTGTGAGCCTGCGTATCTTTCAGACACAGCGCCTTACCCTCCCGAGCAGTATGTAAATGAAGTTCTGCAAGAAGCA